CATCAGTAATCAAGGCAGTGTAAAAGAAAATCTAATGAGATACCACTACACACCCAACAGAGTTACTTAAGATTTAAAAAACTGGCAATACCAGTACTGGCCACATATGGAGTGACTAGGATTCTCAAGTGCTGCTTATAGGAGTGCATTGGTAACAGCATTCACATTTGAACACACGCGCACACACACACACACACATATATGTATATGTGTGTGTGTGTATATATATATATATACACACACACATATATATATAGTGATCTAACAATTTACTTCTCAACAGTGATAGAAATAGATATTTGTACCAGACAACATTCACAGCAGTGTTTATATAGCAGCATTATTGCCAAAGTTTGAAGTGAGGCAATTCAGATGTGTCAGTAGTAGGAAGGATTTTGATGGCAGTATATTTATAAAGTGAAATACTATATAGCCATAAAATCTAACCACCAGCTACTGCAGATAACAGATCTTCTTGGGGGAGGAATCTTTTTCTTGCTGGAGAAGTAACCCAGGACTTCTTGCATATTACACACTGTACTACTCAGCTATACCTCTAGCCCCAGAGGACAAACTGATTTCAAAACCATAGTGAATAAAAGAATGCATCTGAATGAAACTCAAAAGCAGATAAAACTTATGCTAAGGACGATGGTTACTTTGGGGCTGGGGTATGATTTCTTGAGTACTAGATATCATAAACATTATTGTTTGACTCATAATTCATTGATCTCTCCAGTAAGGATTTGCACACTTTTCTATTACATGTCAGACTTCAGTTTTAAAATGATTTAAAGGTACAGACACTAATTTCATCCATCTGGAAAATAGGTTATAAAAAATTTCCAAGGGCTGGGGAGATGGCTCAGTAGAATAAGCGCTTCCCTGGCAAGCAGAAGGGCCTGAGTTCAATCCCCAGTTCCGGGAAGGAAAAAAAAAAAAAGTTCCATTTTAATTATTGAAACTGGCCTACCAATTTGATTTGAAACTGTCTCATTGCTATTTGTTTCTCAATAAAATTATGAAAAAAAAAATTCCAAAACAAGAAAAATTACAGAGTGAATGTTTATAAAACACAAATCTCAAGGCTCGTAGTCATCTGGAGTAAGAGAACTGTAATGCTCGTTAACTGTTGGGCCACAAAAACAGATGAAGGCACACTTACATTTGCAGTGTGAATGTAGGAAAAGTTAAAAAATTGTGGGAAAGTTATACTGTTCGAATTTAAAAGACATAGACCTTCAACCTTGCTCTTCTACTATAAGTAAATTTTACACCCTTAAAAAACTTACAGGGATGTTTGTTTTAACATTATTTTAGTAGCAAACAAAACGTTGAAGCAACTCAAATGCCTACTAGCAAGGAAATAGTTTAGTCCACTGTGAAATGTCACAGTGGACTAAATAAATTAAATAATTTATACTTCCATATGTATATAAAATTAAGTGAGAAAAGCAAAATGCCGAAGTTATATATGTTATGTGATTTCCTGCAGCAATAACTAAAGCTCAGGTAAGGGGGTCTGCACATTTTATGAACAGGGAGAGTAGTGTGAATGGCTTCATGCTACTCTGCTGAATTGATTACTAGGGCCAATGAGTGTAGAAGCACTGACAAAGGTATCAATGATAAAGCATGTGATGAGTCACGCGGGTAAACGATTCTGTGGGGGTGTGTGTGTGCCATGATCATTGTAGTACTGGTGAATGCTTCACTTGGCCTTTCCCAACCCAAGGTCCCCCTAAAATCAGCAAGCTGATTTCAGTACTGATCACCCCCACACCTCCCAGCTACTCAGAAAGCTTCTACAATAAAGAGGTATATATCCAGTATGTGTCTCAAAATCCTTGTGGAAAAGATATTTGGACTCTTTGAGCATGGGAGCAAAGTTTTAATGTTTTTTTTCATTTCTTGTTATGTCTTTGAATTCCTTCTTATAAAGAGTTATGTTGAGAAATATCTCACACCCCAGTGGCCTTCAGTGAAGGCCATTGTTGTGTTAGGCTTCAGTTGGACAACCATACAACAGAACAACTAACATCACTTCTAGCTATTAGAACCAGCACTTGCTGTAATTGAAATCTGAGAAACGCTCGTATATTGAGTCTAATTAAAATTTTTATTTATGTGAAATTATATTTATTAAAATTCATTATCTAATAAGATTCATTAATTATCCTTTGTCAGATGTAAGTTTTAAACTTTTTTTTTTTTTTCATCTATACTGGGAATTGCAGCATAGACTGCAGAGCCAAACTCCAGCCCTTTTTATTGTGAAAGCATCTCACTAAGTTGCCTTGGCAACAGATATGGACCACCACACCTGACTAAAACTTTCTAAAAGCAAGATATGTTTGTGATTCATCTGTCTCTTGTTGTTTATTGTACAAATAAATACTTGATATTTTGCTTACTGAAGAGTAATGAGTAGAGCATTATGAGCTGTTCCACTGAAAGTTTGTCTGTCTGTATGATGCATTCCAGTAGGGTTATCACCAGCAACCTGTCCACTCAATGCCTAGAGCACTCCAGTCATTCTAACTAAAAATCTACTCTTGGTTCAGTTTACAAAATCCTTTGTTGGGGAGGAACATTGGTGCTATCATTGTTAAGCACAGCAAAGCTAGCATAATGAAGCATTCATAAGGCTGACAGTGCCTGAACTATACTGTGAAGAATAAGTTTTCATTTTTCTCTTTTGTGGTATTAGGGTTTAAACATAGGGAGAACTGAACTACATCCCAGCCACCCCTCCCCTTTTTTTTTCTTTTTTTTTTTTTTTTTTTTTGGCACTAGGGATTAACTCAGGACCTTATGCTTGCCAGGTAGGCACTTAAGCCACTGAGCTATCTTCCCAGCCTGTCAGCCATTTTTTTAAAAATTACTTTAATTTTAATTTTATTTTGAGAGTCTTGCTGAGTTGCCCAGCCTGGCCCTAAGCTTTTAGTCTTCCTATCTCAGCTTCCTGAGTAGCTAAGATTACAGGCATGTGCTGCTGTGCCACGTATGAGTAAGATTTTAACACAGTAACAGCATTATAAACGAAGCAAGAAACAACACAATGTATACTGTCTTCACAGATGAAGCAGTATGCCTGTTCTAGAAAATAGAAATAAAGTTAGAGTGGAGTTAAGGGGTGCTTACTGAGAACAGGAGTATGCCTAGGTGAGAAGAGGGGAAAGACTGTCGTTTCACTCTCATGCATCCTGCATGCTACCACCAAATTAACTTTCAAGAGTGCTGTCCTATTCAGCAGTTCACTTAACACTTTTGCTTCATGCTCAAAGCATTTATTTCATCAGATTCATCTAACTTTATCTCTTGTTCCTTAACATTATTAGGTATGGCTGGTTGGCTGGCTAAACAGATTTTCCCTTTTTTCCTTTTTAATATTCTCACTTTTTGTGTTTATTAATCTCTTTCTTTATATAAATGTAGCATCGTTTTCCCAAACAACTTCTTGCTATTCTGAAAACGCTGTAAACCTTCAGCATCCTGATCCTTCCTTTCTCTTTCTTGTTTTTGTGGTTTTCCTTACAGTATTAAGCATAGAATTGTACATGGCCTTTCATGCTTTTCATTCTTTTTTTTTCTTTTTCTGAGTCATTTTTATTCTCCTAAATGGCTGTGTAGTTAAATAACATGCCTCACTATTTTTTTAAGCCTCCAAAGCAACTTTTTTTTTCAGTTAAATGGTATAGATAGGTATTGCTTTTTGTGTGAAATTATTTGACGTAGGAGTAGATATTGAACATTGTAAATAAGAAAATTTTGCATTTGTAAGTCACAAAATGTTGATATTATGGTATTATAATATTTCATATTTTAACTTGTCAAATACTTGTTTCAATGCCTAGATTAAATTATGGATGGGTTAATAACCTAAATGTCTCTGTGTTCCTCACAATGGTTAGGAATTGAATACATCACTCATGATAACATTTTATTTGTTTTATTAATTTACCATAACTGTGTCCATATTCACACAGTTGTTTTGCTTCATTAACAACAGAGGGCACCATTATGGTACCTGAACACCCAGGAAGTAGTCCTTTTCCGGCTCTTGGTAGTTTTCTTGAGCCACCCTTTTTTTCCCCTAAGTTGTATCATAGAAATTTGAGTATTAGTATTACCTAAATGAAAGAGGCCATTATGTATAGAGCAAAATTACCTTTAGGTTATTTATTCCAAAAAGGGTACTGCTGTATTTTGGTCTTCTGTAGTTGTCAAACTTTTTATGCTAATTCTCCTCTCTTGTTCCAAATGAAATCTTACCAGAACCTAACTGTATTAATTAAACATAGTCCTTTTTCAAAGGAGAAGATAGAGGCAGCAAGTTAACAGTCTGGCCCCACCTTTGCACTCTTTCCTCCTAACCCCCATCCTTAGAGCACGGCTTGGAAATCATAACAACTCATCTCACTAAAATTGCTTTTTTAAAACTTGTTTTGTGATATCTCACCAAGGAATTTGGTTTAAAAATAGAAACAGTTTGGTTGTAAAGTGATTTTTAAGTACAAAGGAAAATGCTTTGGAATGTTTCTTGTTTCGGCAATAAAACAGTTAATAGGCTAAGCAGTAGAGACTGGATACTGCACTGGGATAGTGCTTTCTGTCTCCGTCATTTGTGGTTTAAGAAAAGGGGGTGGTGTTCTGCATTTGAAAGGACTTTAATGAATGCTGTCAGTGTTTGTGAGAGCTAATGGTCAGTATGGGAAAGGAGAGCTAGGAAAGTGGTCTAGCTGCTTCAGGATAGGTGGATGAGAGTTTGCTCTGATTGAACGGAATGTTCCACCGTGTTTCGTCTTTATTCATTATCCTTTGTTCTTTAAAATCTGATAGACTGGCATAAAAGTAAATGTAGATATATCTACATATATAAATGTGATTTATTTTCTTTTAAATCTGTTTCTTGTGTACAGCAGGGCATATTACTCCTCTTGTCTTGGTTGGATGCACAAATCTGTGCAGTGCTTTTTGCCCGTTGCCTAGACGATCACTTGGTTTTTCTGAGGATGTCTGGTTCTCGTAAAGAGTTTGATGTGAAACAGATTTTGAAAATCAGATGGAGGTGGTTTGGCCATCAAGCATCATGTCCTAATTCTACAGTTGACAGCCAGCAGGGAGAATTTTGGAATCGAGGACAGACTGGAGCAAACGGTGGGAGAAAGTTTTTAGATCCATGTAGCCTGCAATTGCCTTTGGCTTCAATTGGTTACCGAAGGTCCAGCCAACTGGATTTTCAGAATTCACCTTCTTGGCCAATGGCATCCACCTCTGAAGTCCCTGCATTTGAGTTTCCAGCAGAAGATTGTGGTGGTGCACATTGGCTGGATAGACCAGAAGTGGATGATGGCACTAGTGAAGAAGAAAATGAATCTGATTCCAGTTCATGCAGGTTGATTATTTTCTTACTGTTAGAAATGGGCTGGGGGGTGATAGTGTGGAGTGTTTTAAAATAATTTAGTACTTAGTACTTAAAATCTATTATATGCACGTCTACATGCATCTGCATATATGATATCTTGGTATGAACATGTGGTACTTTTGCTAGGATTTTTTAAAATGTTCTGACATTAATTCTGTAAAATTATGACACCAAATAGCATTCATTTTGAAATAGCTTATGTTCCATATATAGATCTGACTCTGCTTTCAAAATAATATATAGCAGCAGTTTATGTATCATTGCCTAACGGTTTACTTTATTCATTTACCATACATATTCATAACAAAACTATAGAAGATATTTCTGTGGCATAAAATTTGGTGATATGTTAGTTTATAATAGGCTGTAGAGTCAATTTTTAACTTAATGGAAATGAATGGTTTTACAGAAAGATGCACATTGTAGCTGCCAGTTTTTTGACACCATTTTAGTTGTCAATAATATTTTTCGGTGGTTATTTTTCTTTGTCCTGTCTGTATTGCAGATCACAGACTAATACAGAGGATACTGAGTAACATTTTTTTTTCTAAAATTACCTTCACTTTCACTGAAATTCATACTATTTTTGAGAAATGAAGGACATTCTTTCAGGAGAGTTTAAAGGAACATAGAGGGGCTAGATGTGCTAACTGGTAAAAAGGGGCAAGAAGATGAGTTATAAGGAAGAAAATAAAGAAAAAATTGATAATTTCATAATGACCTTATTCATCTTTATCCTTGGAATCTGGCTTTATCTTTGATATTGATCTTACTAAACAGCTTAAGCCACTAGAACACGTTGTCTAACAAGTTAGAAAATGAAAGTCATTATTCAGATTCATCTTTACTTAAAAATAGTTCTAATTATTTAAAGGCACAAAGCTTATCATTTGACTAGTTTGATTACTATCTTAAAATTTCTTTGGCGGTTTTGTATACACTTAGAACTTGTAAGTTGGTTATTGTTAATACAGACATCATAAGAGGGCTTGAGATAAAATGAATTCATATATTCAAGTATGTCTTACTTGGAAATACTCTTTCTTTTCAAACCTTCACAAATGGACTTCTGTATTATAGGATTGGAATGATAAAAAAATACAGATATTTTATCATCTATAATCATGTGGTGGAAAGAAGGGAAATCTTTACATAAATAAATAGTATACTTAACTTAAAAAATTTTAAATATAGTTCATGACATTCCATTATCTTAAAGAACTAGGAGGCACTAAAATTTTTAATATGGGAGAACAGTTAAACTAATATGATTTCATCGTTTTATATTTTTTATAGACACTTGTTGCCATTAAGAGAATAACATATAATAAAAGATTATTTATCATTCTTATGGGAATCTAAACAATAATCATCATCCCATTTGAAAATTAGTATGTCAAGAATTTTATAACAATTAGAAAAAATAAAACATTCCTTTACCAGTATAGGTTATAGAACTGTTAATGTGAATCTGTAGCCAGAAGGTATTATAAAATTACTACAATATTTATGTACGTCTGTAAACTTGGAAAGATTGTATATACCTTGGTCACTATAATTGCTTAAAATAAAAGGTAGTTTGCATAGCAAATGATTCCTTAAGTTGAATTAATCTGTTCTTTGATATACATATTAAAATACTATCCTGATGTGTAGGGTACTCATTGTGAAAGAAAAATAATTTTATTTTGGTGGAAAAACTGTAGTATGCACTCTTTAAGCACTTAAAGTTGATGTTTTTATTTATAGGGGAAACATAAAATGGTATTTTAAAAATCTAAAATAAAGTTATTTATAAGTACTGATTAGCAAGGTGGATCAGACATGGGAATAAACAGTTCACATCTTCAGAAACCAAACTTTTCTTGAAATATTACTTCAAAAATAAAATGTACTGAGAGAAAATGTCTCTGACTTTTAGATATGAGAGGAATATGTTACAGCAACTTTATATTCCTAATAGTTTGAGATTTCAGTCTTACCATTGTATTGATTAAAGGAGACACTTTCTAGATTTTAGAATGACCTTTGTATGTATACTTTCAGTTTTCCATTTTTTCTAGATTAAATATATCTAATTCTTAAATCTCCCTTTATGCCTCTGGCTCTGAGTCTCTGACCTTTGTCTTGAGAATACTTTTTTTGCCTTCAGCTTTTTGATTAAGTGAGCAGTCAGACTTCCCTAAGCGATTGCTTTTCTATAAGCAAATCAAAACTCATCACAGTTAATGTCAAAAGAAGTTACAATGACATTCATTAAATTTCTCTGTATAACTTGGAAACAGTTCATTTTCTTACATAGTATTTGGAAATAATGAAATATATAGGACACATCAGTTGATACCTCAAAATACTAAGACATACTGGGGAAATATGTATATACATTCATTTCTTCTTTAAATGGTCATTATATTTATATAAATCTCAGAACTTAAACTAAATTTTGAATTATTAGAAAAAAGAAGATAGCGTAGTGTTTCTTCATACTCAGAATCACAACACTCACCATAGATCTGGACAGTTTAAGGCAGTTAAGAGGCATCACTTGAAGATAATATGTTTTGTCAGGTATATTCTAGCTAAGGGTATTGTCTGCTTCAGCATTAGACTTCTGATAGTTTCCGCTCCCTTGCATCTAAGTGATTCTTGGTTCTGTAGCCTTGGTTCATTGCTCTTGTGGGTGATCTAATTGATTGAACACTACAAGATAAACTTTGGTTTTTGTACACTGGAGAATTCTGCACTCCATGTAACAGTGGTATCACCTATTAGGTATTAGGGTACCAAGACCTTAATTCTAGACAGATTCCTACTAGGACCAGCAAGGTTTATATGATAACCCATCATGTGACTATACACAGTTTATACTTCTTTTGATTTAATCATTTTAAAATTAAGTAATTTTTTCATCTTTAAGTTGGTGATGTTTCAATATTACAAATTTGTTTATAAAATTAAGTAATATATAGATGTTAAACTGTAATGTCAATTTGAATAAAATATTGCACTTCTAAACTATTTAAAAAAATATTTGTAGCTGATATTTACTGGATACCTCTGTGAGGCACACAAGAAGTTTTAAGCACTTTAATATACGAACTCATTTCTCCTAACTCATTTAGTCTTTACCACAACATTTTTTTAGCTAAGCTGCTATAATTATAAGGTTAATCTAATTCTGACTTTCACATGAGGCACAGAAAGACTAAGTAAGTTGCTCAAAGTTAGTAAAGTAGCTGCATTTTTTAGAAAGTAAACTATATTTTTGGGACAATTTTATTGAAGATTTATTGAAAAGTTTCAAAGATAGTGTGTTGAGTTGCTATATACCCCATATGAGTTTTTTAAAAACACACATCCTGCATTAATATGAAGCATCAGTTACTGTTAGTGAATCAATCGATAGACTATCGTTAGTTAATTAAGGTCTATATTTAGATTTTCTTAGCTTCTTACCTAATACTCCTTTTCTGTTTCAGGATCTTGTTTAAGATACCACATTACATTAAATGATAATACCTCCCTAGGAGCCTGTCAGTTTTAACAGGTTCTCAGATTTTCCTTGTTTTTGATGACCAGCAATTTTGAGAGTATTGGTCAGTTGTTTTATAAAATGGCCTACTCAGTTGTGATCTCTCTCTCTCTCCCTCCCTCCCTCCCTCCATCCCTCTCCCTCTCTCTCTGTTTAGACTGGATTATGGGTTTGGAAGGGGACTATCATAGAGATGCAGTATCATTTTCCTCACATTATACCAAGAGTACATACTATTAACTTGTTTTATCCCTGTAGATATTGACCTTGATCACATGGAAATAACTTGACCTTTGAATCAATTAAGTGCTAGAGAGTTCAAGCTCTTAAACAAAACATTATCACTTGCATACAAAACTCTGGTTTTTTATTAATCATAGGAGTTCACAATAGCTAATTATTCAGGCTAACCTGTTTTACCTTCTTTCTCCAGTTAATTTTCTTTAACTAGCTCCTGAGAATGTCACACCTGGTGATTACAGATACACTCTCTTGACCCAGCCACAAGTCTTTATTCCTCAGTCTTCTATTTTACTTGTTACCATGTACTCTGTGTTTCAGTGCTAGATATCCTGAACACTGTCAATTAATTTATTGTGTTTGCCTTATCTTGAAATCATTTGCATCCTCCTCCTCCTCCTCCTCCTCCTTTTCTTCTTTTTAATATATTTCATACAAGGTCTCACTATGCAGCTCAGACTCGTAGTGATCCTCTTGTTTTCAGCCTCCCCAGCACTGGGATTATAGACATGTGCCGCCACACCCGGTCTCAGTGGCCAGCTCAGCACAGCTGGAAGCAGGGCCAGTGCAGCATGTGGTGCCAGGGATTGAACATTCTCCTCTTTTAATAAGAGCTATTTCCTTTTTCTTGGCATCCTTTATGTTGTCTCATTGTTTGATCCAGTGTAATTCTTGTTCAGTTTTTTACTCAAACTTATTCCTAGAAGTGGCAAAGAGTTCATCTATGTTCTTATATCTGGGAAGGATATACAGTGTTACATTGTTCTTCTTCCTACACATACACCCACATCACATCATGGTTTCCTTGAGAATCTGACACAAGCCATTTTACCTCTCCCCAGAAAATTCTGTGTATATTAAATACTTAGTACCTAGTATAAGGAAGTCGTGAACCTTCTGAAGCTTGTGTGTTGTCAGTCACAGTTCTTAGTTTTAAGTAGAAGCAACTGTCTGCTATATGTTATTCACATGTTATTTGTATTCCATTTGGAACTGAATAGCAAGGTGTTAAGTTTATATTAGACATGTAAACAGTGGCATATATGTGTACACACACATAGACAAGTCTAGAACTTCAGGAAGTATATTACTAGAGCATAGGCTATGTTCATGTAATAGATTCAAATACACAGTGGCTTAAGTAGATGGAAGTTTATTTCTGTCTCCTGACAGCTAGGCAGGTGACCCATGCAGAGACCCATTTTCCTTCTGTACTAATTCTCCATTCTGTAGGTCATTATCCCTTCTGCCTGGTCATAGCATACTCTTCCCTCTGTATTCCAGCTTGTGGGAAGGACCAAAGAAAGAAAAGAGAGGATATTAAACCAGTGTCATGGGTTGAATGTATCAGTGCTGTTCACATTTCCTTGATGAAAACAGTGAGATGACAATTGGATACATGGGAGGTTCTGAAGTGCAGTCTGTACCTGGGAAGCCATATGCCCAGCTAAAGCTCATTATTGTACAAGAAATAGTGGATTCAAAGTTACCATCAGCAGGGTACAAGACATTAGTACAAATAAATAGAATTTGTATTTTCTCATCTACAGAATAAGGCAGTTGGATAAAATGACCAAATAGTCTTCTTCTAGTTGTAAAAATTTTCTGTATAATTGTTTAATGCCTATAGTTCAATGTCCAAAAGTGGTATGAGTAGGTATACAGTAATTTTTAAAAAGTAAATTTTTCTATTAAAATTGTATGTCCAAATTCTACAATCTCTTTAAAAAGTAAAAACATAAATTACCAGAAAGCTGTCCAACTCTTCAAGGGTATGCTCCTTACTCTTTTGCTCATTTTGTGAACAATGACTTTATTTCAGTAGGATACAAATCAGAAGTCAACGCTGCTTTTCATCCTTCATTTAGAGCAATGGATGCACCATCTATATTTAAAAATGTCAGTGAGTTCATTGTTACATTGAACTAATGTGTTCATTTAACATGTGATAGTTGGAAGACCTGAGAGCAAATAAAGGTTTGAAATGTTGTTTTAAAATGCATGTTGGGCTGGTGAGATGGCTCAGTGGTCTAAAGCACCTACTTAGAACAAGCTTAGCAAAGCACAGGGACCGTGGTTCAATCCCCCAGCACCACA